CGCGCGAGCGCAGCCCTCCTGCCCCGCGCGCTGCTGCCCCGGGGGCGGTCCCGGGTTCGGGTTGCGGGGGACCCCGGCGTTGCTTTTCCTTTCGTAGCGCTACGAGGTAAAAGCTCCACTGCTACTTGCCCTTTTGTGGCCTACCCCTTCTCCCAGCATCGCTGCAAAGGGCAGGTGATAAAAAACAGGGAAAAAAAAAAGAAAGAGAAGAGAAGAGAAGAGAAGAGAAGAGAGGAGAGGAGAGGAGAGGAGAGGAGAGGAGAAGAGAAGAGAAGAGAAGAGAAGAGAAGAGAAGAGAAGAGAAGAGAAGAGAAGAGAAGAGAAGAGAAGAGAAGAGAAGAGAAGAGAACAGCCTCCCCAGGCAGCTGCGAGAAAGGCCGCTGTCCAGAACCATCACGATCGGCTCCCCTTGCTGCTCTGAATTGGCCTGTAGCTCTAAAACGCATCGACTGGAAGAGGCTTCGGTTTCGCCGGGAAAGCTGAGCGGGAGGCGCTGGGGAGCGGGAGGCGCTGGGGTCGGTGAGCGGCTGCGGGGGCCGCAGTGCTGGCCCCGCACAGGAGCGAGCGCCTCGCGCATCCCCTGGCCTCCTCCCGGCTCGGTGCCACCCGCGCCTTCCCTGCCCCCCTGGGAAAAGATCTGTTGGAAATCTGCTTTGTGGGACCAAGTTTGCTCTGGCAATGGTGTGAGACTGTTCTCACATCACACACATCCCGCACAAAGATGTGAGATTATTCCAGTGAAACCGTCTTTTTTTTCTTCTTTCCATTGAAGAAGGATTCATTACTTAAAGTAGAAATGTGAGCAATCTGTAGACAGCATGTTATTAGTGTCTAACTGGTGGCATACTCTTTAATTTTTGAAAAGAAAGTACCAGATTACAGCATTTCTTTTCAGTGAAAAGCTACTATTGAAACCATAGGATTTATTAATATAATTGTCAGTAAAATCTAGTCTGCGCTTTTTAGATTTTTTTTCAAAATAAATTCAGAATCTGGATCAGAGGAAATTAATATCCAGGTGTATATTTCTGTTTTCTCTGGATCCAAAGAAAGCCATTCTGACTTTCTCACATGGGCAAGAACTGTCCAGTTTTACTGTCCACATTTAACTGTCCAATTCAGCACTGTCTTTAGACCAATTTGTGTCTAGTATTCATCTGTTCTAAAAATCCAGAAATGACTCCATAGTCTAGAGTATAATTAAATAGGATACACTCTCTCAAGTAGAGAGAGTGGAGGAGAAGTAATTGCTGTTAGCCAATTAGCAATTACTAAAATATACATATATATATATATAAAAATGTGTATATATGTGTGTGTGTTGGAGTGTGTTTATGTGTATGTACATATTAGCAGCAATTATAGAACTGAACAACCATTTCAGACCACTTACTTTTTAAGCCATACCAGCATATTGTAAAAAGAGCAGAGAGAACCAAGTTCCACAGTGGAAAGTTAATTATTAATATATTTTTAAAATAGTAATTAAATTATTAATAAAAAATAGCAGGAATCGATAGTCGTGTCAATATTGGGATGTATGGAAAGTCATGTTTCTGAGATTGGAGTGTTTTTCTTTCCACTTTTGTATTGCAAAATGAAACCAAAAGATTTATGAATTTTAGTGCTTACTTTTAAATTCTCCAGAGTGTACTTTATGATTTTTTTTTTCTTGAGGAAGAACTTCTTCACTGTGAGGGTGACAGAGCCCGGAACAGGCTGCCCAGGGAGGCTGTGGAGTCTCCTTCTCTGGAGATCTTCCAAACCCGCCTGGCTGCCACCCTGTGCCCCGTGCTCTGGGTGTCCCTGCTGGAGCAGGGGGTTGGACTGGGTGATCTCCAGAGGTCCCTTCCATCCTCAGCCATTCTGTGATTCTGTGATTCTGTAAATTTGCTCGGTAGGTAGAGAGAAAAAGAAAAAAAAAAAAAGCTGGAATTAAAAAGGAGAAAAGTAAAGAAGGGACCTAGACTAGAAAAACATTTTGCCATGTCAGAATTCTTCAGCAGTGTAGAAATAAGTGGGAAAGCCTAGATATACATTAACTAAATGGAGGCAACTGTGGTTGGACTAACCACTAAATAAGCAACTCTGGAGATTCTTGACGTGACTCTCTTTCCATATACAAAAATGCATCAGGTAATTCTCTAGGAAGTGCGAACTGGAGAGAGTTAATTATTAGAAAARCTGAGGATCAGGTTCAGTGGACTTACAAGTTCAAATGCAAGGGACCAAGTGAGTCTTCCTTGATTATTTATCTTTTATTTTCTTAGTAGATACTGGATGACTGAAGCTGCTCAATCCTTAGCAAGTATGAAGGGCAACAAACTTCTGCCTTTTTAACCTGGGGCCTTTAAGCCCTTATTGAAAATCCTGAGAAAGGAGCCAAAGGAACATAGGGTTTTCTTGCATGTATAGGAGTCCCTCAGGGCTCAGATCTTGTCAAGGACTCTTCATTTTGTGGACTGCATGGACCTCACAGCTCTGCTAGAATAAAATTGCAGCTGTTTTGCACATCACACATATAACGGGGTCTGATCCCCATGACTTCACCCCAGCTAGTCCGGGCAACAGAGCAGCTTTGGCTTGCCAAGCTTGCTGAAGACTTGCTGCTTGTCTCCTGCTAAGAGGGTACAGAAGTATTTTCTGCTAAACTCAAGCAGAAGACTCTTTATTAGATTAATAAAAAGCATATATGCTTCCCCCTCCCTCCCTTTTTGTAGTTCCTGAAACCACATTTTCTCTCTCTGTAGTTCACTGTGTTTTTCCTGCCTTGAAATTTCTMTGGGTCTGTTTGTCTTCTTACCTCCTACAAAGGAGCCAGAATTCATAGGGCTGGCAAAGGGAGTGCTATAGGCATTGCTTATGCCTACTCAAGAGGAACAGTAAGATCTTTTAACATGTTAAATTTTAACTTACCTATGGCAGGAGCATCCCCTGATGAAGTGGTTTCTCTACACGAGCTTGCAAAGACATTTCTGCATCAACCAGAGTCATGGGGCAGAATGTGTGCGTGGCCTCCACAAACTGGTTCACAAAACAGTGCAATCAGGTCTTTGGTAAAATAAATGAGTTATCAAAAAAAAATCCAAATCCAATACATAGCTTCCAAACTTCAAAGGTACTGCTTTATTTACAGTAACTACTTCTTCTTACATATGCTTCTTACAGCACTATTTGCAGTTAATACTGCCCTATAGAGTAGCCATAGGAAATTTCCAGCTGAAGCATAGTCTCCAAATTGTTTGTTCTCTTTCACCTGTATAGTGTTTGTGGTGATAAATGTAAGAATCTCCATCCTTTCATCCACAACAAAGAGTTATTTATGCAGGAGTAAATATGACTTTTAAAAGACTTTGACATAATACACAAGTATTTACAAAATGTGTGTGCCCTGTTACTGGGGTGTTTAAAGGAAATGAGTAAAATGCAAGACTCAAAACTCTTGGAGTCTGCAGCATGGCTGAACTGCCCATGGATTGGACAGTTCAGCCAACTGCCTCCTCGGAAGGAAATTGGAAGGAATGTTCTTGGCAGCATTTTATTTGGTATTCAAGAAATGTTTTTTGTTGGCTACTGCACCCCAGAAGACACTCCTCTGGTGGATGAATTTGGAGATCTTCCAAAGCCGCCTGGCTGCCACCCTGTGCCCCGTGCTCTGGGTGTCCCTGCTGGAGCAGGGGGTTGGGCTGGGTGATCTCTAGAGGTCCCTTCCAACCTCAGCCCTCCTGTGATTCTGGGAATTTTCCTGGTAACTGGCCTGCCCATCAGACCTATGTGGCCGACCACTTGCTACATTCAAGTCAAGCRCCTGGGAAAACCAGTTAGTGTCACTTCCCCTGCTGTGCCCTGTCATTGCAGCGGGGCTGTGGGCGCAGCGCGTGGGCCGACTCCTCTGATGAGATTCTTGCTTCCCTTGCTTGATGGCTTTGAGTAACAACAAATCAATTATGCAGAGCAATTGCCATCAGTAGTCTTCAGAGTAAACAGGGGTGAGTCTTGGCAGGCCCATATAGACAGCATGGTGTTGAGCTGGTCACCCCAGGTAGCCCTTTTGAGTATGTGGGCAGAGCCAGGGTTGGCAAATCTGCAGAGCTCCAAGGGCAAGAAAAATAGCCAAGCAAAAGATGCACAGAAATCYGTGCGTGTTCCTTTGTGTGTCCAGCCCAGAGCTGCTTTGTATTGGGAGGGAAATTACTACTAAAATAGCATGAGTGTCTTTTATTTAAAAAAAAAAAAAACAACAAAACTTTTCAGCTCTGGGCTGGATTTAGGAGGAGTAGTTAAAACTACCGTGGTAGTGTCTAAACGTGTCGAAACGTGATGTGGTCTTTGGCCCAAATGTGTTCTTCATTCCATGCTTGACTGCAGCAGCATGTGATAGGATAGGGCAGGAAAAGAAGCTCCAACAAGYGTTAATGCTTTGGGAATTCCTTAGCCCTGCTCAACTTCAAGGGCTCCAGCTCCCTTTCAAAGACTCGGGTTGTGCAAGGGGCTGAAGGCAGCTGTGCTGGGGCTTCTTGTTGGCTTCAYTGAAGCCAGCAAGGGAGTAGTTGGAGGAGAAAGGATGCAACTCGGGCCATGTGCATGAAAATCTCTTGTGATGAGCACAGCTCTCACATTGCTTTGAGCTTGCCTGGATAAGCTGCTTGTACACAGAGTGTTGCAGGCCTGCCTTGGTGCTTTCACCTGACCTGGCCCATTTTTCCTGGCTGTCATGAGGTAAGAACAGCTCTTCTGCATAGACAAAACACTCCGACCTGTAAATCAGAGATTTTCTTTCTTGTAAATGTGAACACTGATAAGGAGTAGAAAATGAACTGTCAATTTCCCTGGAAAATGTGGTATTATTTCAAAACAAAACCCTTAAATGTTAAATTCTGAGCCTTACTGTTTTGTCTTTTACATTTGCAGGTATATTTTGAAAACAATAGTTCTGGGCCAGATGCTTTCCTTGTTTATCTGTGGGACTGCTGTTACAAGCCAGTACCTAGCAGAGCAATTCCAAGTGAATACTCCGATGTTTCAAAGTTTTATCAACTATTCCTTGCTTCTCCTCGTTTACACAACGATGCTGGCATTTAGGACTGGTAGGTAAAGTATTGGGGGAGATTCTGGTTCTGGAGATTTTGTTCTTCTACATTTTTCTCTTGAATTTTGAAACTGAAGAACTTAGTATTTGTCCAAGCTTTTTAAACTCCCTGCTGAAATTCCTGCCTTGTAATAACACAGGGAAATGATTTTTGCAAGGTAGGCAAGTATTTCATTTCACTTCATGTATTCAATGGAACCAAAGAGCAGAAAAAGAAAGTTTTGTGTTATAATAGAAAAAACAATCTTTATTGTAACAAATCTCATTACCAGAGCCTATTTCATATTCCTTCTACATCAATGCAGTCTTCAAACAGTCCTAATCTTTTTTTTTTTTTTTTTGTGATGGATTTCCACTCTGGAATGGATGGATTTTTTTGTGATGGATTTCCACAAACAGGCTCCTGTTTGTTCTTACTATATCTTCCTTACGATTGGGAACCAAAATCAAGCATCTCAATATCATATGTGCTTATAAAAMCCAATATCCTTGTGCAGCATTTCTTGTGCAATATATGGTCCTTGTGCAATGGACCATATATTGATTGCTGCTTTTTCTCTAAACAGGCAATGACAGCCTTCTGCAAATTCTGAAACAGAGGTGGTGGAAGTATCTTCTTTTGGGACTAGCTGATGTTGAGGCCAATTACATGATTGTCAAAGCGTACCAATACACAACCCTTACAAGTGTTCAGGTAAGGACCAATCCCCCTTTCCAGGTTGTTGCTTTTGTTAGAGTTTTGTACTCTTTTCTGAAATAAGATTTCAGAGGACACACACAGAAGCTATTTAAATCTGGAAAAAAAAAAGTCAATATCTCTTTTCTCTTTGCAATACAGAGAAGAGCATCCTGCATCATGAATAGCATTTCTAGGAAGGAGAGAAAATTGGCTGGTATTACCCAGCACCAGTTCTTAAATTGAACTCTGAGGTATTTTTGTATTTTTAATAGAAAGCATTTCTAAGAGTTTGCTGACAACAACTTTTTTTTTTTTCTCCCTCCATGATGCAAAAATGAAGATTTAGGATCAGATAATACTGACTCAGCGCAGGTTCTTGCTGCTGATAACACAGTACATCCCTTACCTAACCGTGGAAGCTGTAGGAGACACTGGGAGATGTAAGATGTGAGGACAGAGCTGGAAGTGAGCTGTGCTGCGAGGCATCCCAGGGCTCGGGGATGTGGCACTTCCAACTGCTCCCTGTGAGAGGGAAGGGACATGAGCTTGACAGGTTCCCAGAGAGACTGTAAACAGCAGCATCCTCTGCAGTGCTGGTGCTTGGCAACATCTCACTGTGTCAGGAAAACCTTGTGTAAATAGCTCCAGGAGCAGGAGGATAAGAATGTAGGTTTTCCCTCACTACACGCAGATGTAAGGTGTCAGCTAACGTGCAGCTGGAATAGTTTTATAAACTCCTGTGATCTGGGTTCTCCTCAGAAAGCTGCAATGACTTTTCCCCTGCTGTTTAAGGAACAGTAACATGTGCCCCAAGGATTAGCATTGTCATGTTTTCCACTGCATAATTATGTATTATGGCTCATTAAGCTTTTAATTTACTTATGAGTAATGTCTAAGAAATTAGAGTTTTAGCAGTGATATGTTTCTGTCTCAAGACAAAGTTAAGCTGATGACTGAAAAGTTCTTTGATCATGTATTTTTCAGCTGAAGAAGCCAGGGCTTTAGTTCAAATTCCCAGAAGGAATAAAGCTATTCCCATGACTTCTTCCATAGAAATTAAGGAAGAAGAGGTAGAGTTGGTCTTCTTGCCCAGTCGCCAAAGTCAGGCTTTTGCTGAACCTTCTCATGGGATGATCTTCAAACTGATGCCTCCTTAAGTGTCAGTTCAGTATTAGGAGTTTTTATACCTCCCCATCACAGTAGGATTTCTTGCATATCCCATGAAGTAACTGGTTTCCCACCACTGTCAGAAATGAGAATCAGAACAAAAAGATCTGGGGTGCATTAAGAAGAGCATCTCCAACAGGTCGAGGGAGGTGATCGTGGCCCTACACACAGCCCTGGTGAGGCCACATCTGGAGACTGTGTCCAGTTCTGGACTTCCCAGTACCAAAGGGATGTGGAGCTGCTGGAGAGAGTCCAGCGCAGGGCTACCAGGATGAYCAGGGGCCTGGAACATCTGTCCTGTGAGCAAAGGCTGAGGGAGCTGGGCCTGTTCAGCCTGGAGAAGAGGAGGCTGAGGGGGGACCTGATCAGTGTGTATAAATACCTCAAGGGAGGGAGGGAGGAGGAGGGGTCGCCTCTTTTCAGTGGTAGCCAGCGACAGGACTAGAGGAAATGGCTTCAAATTGAAGCATCAAAATTTCCACAGGAACTTAAGAAAACATTTCTTAACAATGCGGGTACCAGAGCCCTGGCACAGGCTGCCCAGAGAGGTTGTGGAGTCTCCTTCTTTGGAGATCTTCCAAACCTGCTTGGACGCAGCCCTGTGCCACATGCTCTAGGTGACCCTGCGTGAGCAGAGGGAGTTGGACTAGATGACCTCTGAGGAGCCTTCCAACCTTAAGCATTCTATGATTCACTCCAGCAGCACGTAGTTCTGCTTTTACATTAGTATGTAAGAGTGGTCATCCTGGTTGAGAGCATTATGCTGATACACTGTCTTCAGTGGTGGCTTTAAATGGATACCCTGGAAGCACAGAAACAAGGCAGGAATATACCACACTTTTTCTGAACACTGTGCTCACTGTGGAAACGCTGCCTGGCTGGAGCTTGAGCTGAGCGTCAGGATTTTCATCCCAGATAAGTTTCTGCTCAGCAAGGAACTTCCATGTATTCTTCACACACGTGCAAAGAAACAAACCCGATTTTCCTCAAGTTAACAAATGTTTGCAATGCAAGGAAGGGCTCRGCAGATTTATAAAGAGATAACATTGGGATGGCAATGCTCATTTCTCTGTAAATAAAGATAAAAGTCTCTAAGGCCACAACTGCAGCTTTTGAGTTGTGGTTGAGGCGTTGCCAGTGGGGCTTCTCCCTGCGAGACACTCACGCTTCACCCTTACGTCAGGAACGACGGCGCTGCTCTGTGTAACGCGTTCCACCACAYGCTTCACAGCCCAAAACAGGCAGTGTGTTCTGCTTCCTCAATGGGCTATTAGGAGCTGTAAGTATTTGCTGTTTCCACAATGCAGGCAGGGCACTTAGCTGGCAGCTGTTGATAGAACATCAGCTCATGGAAGAATCAGAACATCAGCTCATGAAGCACACGAGGRGAAGCAGCAGCCCGTGCCCCTGGGGCTGCCCACGGGAGCCGGGCGGGCCAGCGAGCAGGAGCAGCYGCGGAGCTTTCTTGCTCTCTAAGCTCTTGGAGCTGCCAGTTGTGAGCAAACTAACAGCCTCTAACGATCTACTACGATTGCTTAACCATTTATTAAAGCGTCTGTTAATCATTTACCCTATCATTAAAACCTTMCCACAGGCAGGGTGGTTGAAACCTGGTTGGAGTCAAAATCAAATCACCGGGTTATTTTTATGTTTTTTTTTTTTTCTCCCCTCCCTGTAAATATGCAGTGCAGAATTGAGTAATACAAGAGTTTGCTGAGGCTCTACTGGCAACTGGTAGCTAGCAGTACTGACATAAATGTTATAAAGCCTGAATAAATCTTTTAAATGTTTCCATTCGCATAAACTCACTGTGATATTACAGCTGCTATGCACATCTTTGATCTTGGTCCTACACAGAAGAGAACATTTTCCTTCAGAAAACTCTTTGAACCAAGTAGAAGAAGGCAAGAATCACTAGCTGGAAATCAAATTTCTTTAGTTTGTAATTGAGGGTAATTGGCTGCTGAAATAAATTAGTAGTGTAAGTTCTTTATCATCTGGTGCCCATTTGTCCTTAATGCAAGTCTTCTAACCAGGGTGAGGTAGCTCTGGAGTATTGGTCTGGAGCCAGCAATTCCTCAGCTAGCGTTAATGAAAGAGATTGTGACTCATTATCTAAAAGATCTTTATGCTGTAATTAATCTTTTTTTTTTTTTTTTTTTTTTTTTTTTTTTTTNAAAAAAAAAGTTGCTGCTCTGCAAGAATAGAAGCCGGGCTTACCTAGTTTGGCAGGGTATGCAAAGTAGGATTGGCCGGATCAATTAGAGAATTATCTATTTATGAAATGTCTAGCTGCAATGAAAAGAGCTGGTACAATTATGAACTGTTGTCTTGACAACTGGGAAGGACTGATTGGATCATTTTATCAGTAGGGTTGCTGATTTCAAAAGCAAGCTGCCGAAAATAGTAAGGGACTTGGGTTTCAGAAAAGGGATTTTTTTTTTCTCCGTCGTCTTTGCTGGTAGGGAAAAATGTAAAGGGGGTGGGGAGAGGGAGAAGGGTTTCGCCAAGAAAGGTCCGTGATGCAGATTTATTGGCAAAAAGCCAGAGTTGCTATTGTAAATTTCCTCGTCGGTTTCAATGTCAACCCAAGCTCGTATTTGAACCCGGAATCAGGGCAAAAGCATTATCACTCTGTCACTTTGTTGCCAGAAGTGGATTTTTTTTTGTTAATATTTTACTGTTACATCTGACAGGATTTCACATTTTCTGTAGCCCGCCTTTAGTACGTTGAACTGCCAGACAGAGAAATTAATACCCTGAGTGACTGTATTTTAATTAAGCAATTTCATGCAAATTACAAATTTTAGATTGCCAAATAATATATTGCACAAAAATTGTAGGCTGGCTGATCTGATATGCATGGAGTATTACTCTTCCAGGCGCTGTGCATACATGGGAAAATGAACAAAAATGCTAATTTCCAATCTACTATGCAAACGGTAAAAGATGCCTATTTAGATACATATGCTTTCCTTAGGAAGGGTAAACAGTTCTTTAATTTAATATAGCTGACACTTGAAGACGTGTTTTCCTCCTTTACAAAGATAATTTTTTTTTTTTTTTGCATTGAACAAGTAAATGAGAATTCAAGTAGAAAACATCTTCTTAATGGCGACTAATAAAAACTAATATTGCATGCAATATAATGATATTAAACCTTGTAACTGGTACATAAAGCAAGACTATTCCTATTGTTGCTCTGTCAATAAACATCAAATACGCTCGCGTGTTAAATATGTGCTCCTCGACTCGGGAAGCGCTTAACCCTGTGAGCGGCCGCTTGAGCAGTCAGGGAGCGCGGGGCAGGAGGGCAGCGGGAGGCTCAAACCGCGCCGCGCTCCGCGCAAGGCAGGCGCGGAGAGGAGCCTCGCGAAGGAGCGAGACTCACTGGGAATCTCGGACGCGGCTCCGGCGCGCGGGGCCCGCGGGAGGGTCGCTCGGGGCCACCCGCGCAGCGGCTGCGCTGCCCGGGGGCCGCTCCCCGCGGCCCCTCCGCGGGTGGCCCCGCGGACCCTCCCGCGCACCCCGCCGCGCTGCGCGGAACTCTCGCGACCCCCAAGTTTGCGGATCAAGCGGCGGCTCGCGAAGCCGCTCTGCAAGAGGAGTAAGCGCACCGTGAGAGCGGCTCGCCAGAAAACTACACTTATATATATATATATGCTCATTTTTGTCGCTTTCTGAGATGATGCTCTGCTAAACAAGCGGCTGCAATTCCGCAGAGCCTCTGGAGATAAAACTTTACACGAGCCCCAGCATCCACTCCTCATCCGTCCATCAAAGGGGCGACTCACGTGAGTGAGAGCGCCAGGGTTCGCCCCCGGTTCTGCTTTCCCACTCAGTAACGACTTCATCTGCCAGCACCCAGAGCAAACAGCAGCTTCCCCGCAGGAAGCAGCTGAGCCTTCCCAGATGCTGCTCACAATTAACCTGGTTACAAATTTAGCATTCCTAAGTACAGGACTTGCAATTATTCCTGAAAGTGGGTGGGCATTCTTGCAAATCCTGAGCATCTTAGCCACATTCACTGGCTAAATAGGCTGCACATAACAGGACTAAAACGTAGAATACTGATCTGAATTTTAACTGCACTGTAGTGATTTTCTTTCCTATCTTTTTTTTTTTTTTAATATGTATTTTAAAATACAGATTATAATTGCAAGAATTAATATATTTTAAATTCTTTTTTTTTTTCCTTTCAGAATTTAAATACTGTATTCAGGCTTTGTAAGAGTCTAGTGGCTGGTTTTGTTGGAAATACATGAATGGTTGTTGGGGAAATGCACTATCTACATTATTTGGACCTGATTTATATTAGGAAACTTTTCTGGTTTTGTTAAGTTCTTCTACTCCTTTTTTTTTTTTTTTTTTTTTTTTTTCTTTTTTTTTAAGAGTGGCTTTTGTTCTACTCTTTTGGGTTGAAAAACTGCTTGGAGGCTAGAAGGCTACATGGTAACATCTCAATAAATAAGGAAATGAAAGCTTGATTATTTATAGGAGATGATATGTCTACCAGCAGGGAAATGATTTTTTTCCTTTTTAACTTTTCCAATATTTCTTAGCTTTGGTGATTACAATTTCACACCAAAGAAATCTTTGTTAGGACTCAAAACTTGCTTGGAACAAACTGTGAAGCCAAAGGTGGAAAACCAGTATTGTGAGAACTAAATCATACATTTYGATGAAGCAGAGAAATGACCCTTCTCATTTGATACTGGGAAAAAAAACAGACACAATCTTTGTGTAGACAAAAGAAAAGAGAGAGCAAAAGACCTGTGATCAAACAGAGACACATAACGTGATACTCTTAAAATAAAGCAAAGCTGTACTGAAATACATGGCACCATGTGCTAGGACTAGCATAGTTCAAACGTCTGCCAGTGCAGCCTAGGTAAGTGACTGGTTTTACACAGGCTTCTCAGGGGGGGCAAGCTGGAGACAATGTAGGGAACACAGACAAAAAGGTGGAAGGGGTAGAGAGCACCATGAGGGTTTGCCCTGTATGAACTTCCCTTACTGCTGTCCTGGTAAGACAATATATGTGGTTATGAGCAGGTAAAAATAACCTTATCACAACAGTTTTACCAGTTTGATGAAAACCCTTGTAAATTATGAATTAAGTAACAGAGGTAGGTGCAGAAGTAAGCCCCAAATGGTACATTTAGAYAGACAGAAGATAGCAAAGAACATTATAGATTAAGGGCTGTTATCTTGGTCGTAGCAATTATGCTGTGGTTCTATTGACCTGGCACTGATGCTTCATAGTGGCTTCAAGAGGCTGTGTTTTAAGAACTGACATTTAAGACTAATTTGAGAGCAGTCTTTGGAAGGCTGACTATATGTTGTGCTCTATTTGCTTATGTATTTTTCATGGCACTGTAATGAGGCAGGCCAGAAAATATGCTTCTCTTTTTTTCCTCCAGAAAAAATCAGGAACAGGTCCATTTTATTGAATGAGGTATTAAAACCAGTTGTGATTAGTTCAGTGTTCTTTGCATTATTTGATTGTTCTAGAACATTATGTTCATTTTATGCTGTGCCTTGTTTTTCTGTTTGATGCGTACAGCTGAGTCTTGGTCTTCTGTAGCAAAGGAGAAGAGGCAGAATGTTTATGGGTTTAACAGAAGGGCAAAGGTATCTTGGTGCTTCCAAACATAAGAATTTAGCAACACGCAGAGGTGGATAATGGAGAAAGGAAAGAGAAATTAGTGTCACTGCTTGTCATGGAGTGCAGACATCCTTGAACCTTAGCTGATAAGTCTACGCAGGGCAGTGCCCATGAACATGTCATGTGTGTCCTTGCTGCTGTGGAAGGTGTAAATTGCAGAGTCAACTACCACTTCTGATTAATTCAGAGTCAGATRTAAAAGGGAAGTGGACTGAAAATACATTAATGCCTTGGGCATGATTTTCTGGGAAGCTGCAGCGTTGGGAAGAGACCTTAGCAAAGCTGTTCTCTCCTTCCCATCTTTCTGCCATCAACTTTGCAAATTTCTTCCATTCTTGTACCAGGTCTTTTTCAATAAGATGCATTTTTTTTTTTTGAAAAAAAAAAGCCAGATACTTTAGGGTCAAGTTATTGCATTATTCACTTTGATTAAARTTTCATCAGTTGTATTCTTCAATAAGTCCATTTTTGCACATTGTGTACGCTCAGCCCTCAACTCTAATTGCAGTTTTGAAGAGGAGTGAAAAGATGAACTATCAGACAAGGACAGCTGAAATCTGTCAAGAAAGGAAAGAAAAAACCTGGTAGAAAATAGTGACATGTCAGGGAACCACCTGAATTAGTGTTGTGAGGAGCAGGGCAGCCTCCTAGCGCTAACTTGTGAAGTTGGGCAGATTTAGATCCCTTATTAGGAGAATTTCTAGATCTGTGAGTTTCTAACAGTGTAGAGTGAAGCCACCACAACGCCTCTCCCTCCCTTGCAAAATGCTTTTCATGATACATTGTGATGCTGACCCCTCTTCCATTTCAACTGGTCTGTTGGGGTTGCTTTGTGCCTTCCAACCGAGAGCGATGGAAGGTAAGATCCTGCAGGTTTGTCTTCAGGAGAGCGACATCCAAACTTGGGGTAGGATTCTAATTAAAATTGCTTTTCTGTCCCTGCAGCTGCTGGATTGCTTTGGGATTCCTGTGCTGATGGCTTTATCGTGGTTCATTCTCCGTGCGAGATACAAACTGATCCATTTTATTGCTGTCGCAGTCTGTTTGCTGGGTGTAGGAACCATGGTGGGTGCAGACATACTGGCGGGCAGGCAGGACACTGAAGGTAAGGAAACCTTTCTCACGTGGGGGAAATTCAGAGACACGGTTCCCATTCCAGTCTTCCAGTCCAAATTTCAAAGGACAAAGAGGAGCAAACTTCTTTGCTTTGTGGGAAGGAATCTAGCTTTATTTTAAACAAGAAGAGAGAAACTGTTATTTATATTTTCTGGGCAAAATGACAGTAACTGAGGAGATGTCAGTTTTATAGGGAGCCGTGACATTTGCCTATAGATTTGGATTGTATATTTGGATATCTTGAAGTTTGCTGCTGCTTGTTAGCCCTGACGTAAGATCTCAGACCTGGTGAAGGACATTTTCCTTGAAAGCTAGGTTGCTTTTACTAATCGTATGAGTTGGTCTAATAAAAGATGCTGCCTCTTCCTACAAACCTCATCCTGCTTACACTCCCAGTCTGTTGGCAGCCAGACTTCACTGATCTGCCGCTCCCGGAAGGAATTCCCTGAGGATGAAGAGCAAACCAGAGGTTACTTAACAATATTCTGACTTATTTATGTTTTGCAGACCCATAGAAATAGACCACATATCTCCAAGGTCTGCTGAGCACAGCATGGAGGTCAGTGGAGATGTGGCCAGAACACATGGAATTGCTGGGTCTCCTGCAGGGAGCCTGGCCTTGGGTGCCTGCACCCAGTGGGGCTTAGGTTAGGACTGGTTACCTCTTTTGGACCAGAAGCCCAAATCAGGCCACATTAAGGTGCTCTTATTTTGAACCCTRGGGGGTTTAAGGCAAGGTGAATGTAAGCAGGAAGAGAAACGTAGCATCGACTTCACTAAGCAGAATACAGATGAGCCTGGTTAGCTTTGTTCCAGGACATCTACTGCAGGTACGATAGGATGGCAGACAGAGGGTTAGCATCAGTGCTGTGTGGTACCAGCATGTCAGAGCCCTGAGGGAGAAAGTTCTTCCCCAGCGATTTTAGGACAGTTGTGATTTATTCAGTGACCTGAATATCCCTAGTGCTGCTTTCCCTCACGTGCCAGACGTATCTCCTTAGTGACTGCCAGCGTGCTTAGGGCAGGACACTTCACACCGATTCAAGGACTTCAACAGCAGCTCCTTGCCTTGCTCCTGAGCAGCTGCATAACAGCACTTACTTGATGAGTGACTGTGTTACAAGGAGTCCCAGTAGCACAGCATGGATATATCACAGGATACGCAGTACCACACATCTGCAGCACCCTCTTAAGAACTGTCATTAACTTCAAGTTCAGTCCAGGTCCCACAGCAATCAATAAATTGACTCTGGCAAGGCTTGAATGAGGCCCTCGTGCAAAAGCAGAGGTACAGTTGGAAGCTGGAAGCAATTCCTCTGAGTCCCTGTGCTGCCCGGTGTCAGGGGAAGCAGGGAGGGCTGGAGCACCCAAAAAGCCATGGTTGGGTCAGGATGAGACTGCGTGTGCTAACGAGCCCTTAGTAGTGTTCGTGTTCAAGCCCAAGCAATTGATCTACTTTCAAAACACACACAAATCCTTACCCTTTACCCCGGAGGTGCTAGAAAAGCAGGGATATTCGGGATGAATTTGCTTGTCTTTTTAAGGAAAGTTGAAAAGTGTTTGCAGCATTACCCTCATTGTGGATTAATATTTCTGTACAGGAAGTGACGTGGTGATTGGCGATGTCTTAGTTCTTCTTGGTGCTTCTTTGTATGCCATTTCTAATGTGAGTGAGGAATACATTGTGAAAAATCTGAGCAGAGTGGAGTTTCTAGGAATGGTGGGCTTGTTTGGGACTATTATCAGCGGTCTGCAGCTGTAAGGATCTAATATTTATTTTCAAATTAATTAAGAATATTCTACAGATGATTACTTGTCTACCATGAAATGACATTGTTGTTATTAAATTAATTCTTTGCTAACTTTGGCTTATATGGGAGACTTTTCATTTGAATGCCATTTTTGTTACCATGCAACATCCATTTTATATTGTTCTTGTTTGTTCTACTCTTATTACCACAATTTGAAAGCTCCAATCTTGTAAATTCAATGCCTGTCATACTTGCCTGTGTTCTTGATTTTATTGACCTCATGAGGACACTTAGCAGGATGAGGACTGTTCACAGGAATGTATTTCTTAATGGCTTTTCTCTGTGGAAAGGTTTCAGAGATAATGATTAGCAGGATGGCTTCCATATTAAACAAGTTTAAAATAAAGCATGTGTACTCTTACAGATAACTGTGCTAGAGTAAGAGACCACATGCACTTCAGTCTCTCTGAAGAATTTTGTTTCTTATTTCTCGTCATTATAGTTAATTTCCTCAAATTATATGTCAAATAGAACTGAATGTCTGAAGGATGAAAAAGCCTTGAAAGAACATAAGAAAGGCATAAGAGTTAAATAAAAGCGCTCTTGACTTTCAAGCACTTGAATTCTCAAGTATTTTTCATGCTTGTTAGATGTTGGAGTTATTGTTATTTAATACAATTTCAGAAAAAAAAATCAGGGATGATAAATCAAAATGTTTTTTATATATACTGGTAATTCTCTATTTAAGTACTTTTTTAAACTTTATGGTATTTTTTTCTTCAACTCTAGAGCCATTCTTGAACATAAGGACATAATGAAAATTCAATGGAACTGGAAAGTTGGTATGTTTATGACAAAATGGTATGCATTTTTATGAAACACYGGAAAAACTAATAATCATTTAGTCTTAAAAATGTGTTTTTTTTCAATTTCTTTTTCTGTATAGTAAATGACAACTTTCATGTTACTTTGCCACAAATAAATAGATTTCCTACAAACTCTGCAACTTAGTAAAGAGATGAGATTGCAGGATGCATGATTTAAAACATCTAAATAATATCCATCTTCTATAAAATCATAGTTTAGTGCCTTTACACAAAGTTTCCATCCTTTTTCTTACAGCATTGCTCTTCGCAGCATTTGCCCTGTGTATGTTTGGGCTGTACAGCTTCATGCCAGTAGTGATTAAAGTCACTAGTGCAACCTCAGTCAACTTGGGCATTTTGACTGCAGATCTCTACAGTCTTTTCTTCGGACTTTTCCTGTTTTACTATAAGGTAGGTAACTTCATTCATTCATGATAGCTTCAGCTGAATTTTTGCTCCAATGCTACAATTAGATCATAATGTTCTTACTAGCCCCTCAAAACTGTTTTCATGTTTATATTTGTACAGATTGTATCATTCATCACTGTCAGATGTCAACCAGGATATACTTAATTACGTAACTTTGCACCATTAGGTAGTTAATGATTGTAAAGCAATATCATACTTCATAGAATAACTTGGAGTTAACAGTAAAGATAGTAAATAATTTACTGGAGACTCAGATGATAGATTCTTGTTTTAATCCGTATTTAGAACTCCACAGAGTTAGTGTGTTAGAGTTGGTTCGTCTGTAGAGTTAGTATGTTAGAGTTGGTTTATCTCMCTCACAAAGAGTGGCTTGAATCCAGGTGTCCTGAAAGGATTTTGGTGGCTGCAGGAGTAGTTGTTGGATTTRACTTTTAGAAAATAATATTAGCTTTTAAAATTTTATTTATTTACTTATTTTTACAAATGTCTCAGGAGAAGAGTTAGGCTCCAGTATTGCTTCTGAAGAGAAACTTAAGTAACTGAAAAATTGCAGATAAATATATGGTTCTGTATGGTCTGCAAGAGGCAATTATTTTTATTGTTCTCTGAAATCTTTTCTCTAGTATCTATTGAAGCTAAGTGGCAGTGCTGAAAAGATTTAACTCTGACCCGTTCTCTTCATGAGGAATCATTTGTGGGAACCTAGCTCGCTGTAGCAGAGACTGGAAGGGCTTAGTGAGATGCTTGTGCAATTTGCTTAAGACGCTTAATTTGTGTTATTCCATGTGGTTGCTTTGTCTTCAGCATTATGGAGAGGCAGAAGCTTTTATGTCAGATTTGTTTCTGAAAGTGAAGCCAAATTTATTGTGGTATTCAACAGGATTCAATTTTGAATCCAGTTAGGATCCAATTTTGGGCTAGATTGTTTTTTCCAAGACATTCTTAGCTGTTGACTTACTTCATTTTTGGTTTGAAAAGTTTTACAAAACTACTGGTCTAAACTACAAAGCATCCATTGCAAATGAATGTAGGAAACTGTAGTTATATCCTAAAAAGAAAAAAAATGTTTTCTCTGTTAGTTCGAATAACACATTTTAGTACCAGATAGCTCAGGTTTGAACAAAAGAAGTAATCAGAGAACTGTATCCATAATAGTTAATGTGAAGAAGTAAGCAAAGTCTTTGGGAGGGATATAGATTAACTTTTAACTTCAGCATGAACTTACTTTGGGGAGAGATTTTCCTGGGAAGAGATCATTCCATAATTACTGCCTAGAGCATATTTTGGTAGCAAAAAGAAAAACACGAATTAGGGAAGATTTGAGGTCTGCGTTAGGAGAGAATGTCGGTTATATTGTAAAATATAAGTGACTAAAAAGATCCATTGAGAAATGAGAGAAATGATGAAATGACTTTCATGCAAATTGATTTAGTTTTTATGTGTGACTCTTCCCATGGCAAGATGGAACAAGGAGTGTTTGAAAGTCCTGTACGTTTGTCACGGGGCACGGAGGGGATAATGAAGTACCACTCTGAACATTGAAGAGAAGGCTCTCTGGAGGGGGACAGCTCCAGCATGACCTTGCATCTGTGGGTAGAAACAATCAAGTAACAAAAAGAGAGCAATGATAATGCAACATCTTTAGTAATCAGAATCTGAAAGAACTTAGAAACTGAGAACTCAGGAAGCCTGATTTTTGCAGGGCTTTTCACAGTACATTTAGCAGTAGAAAATCTTGCCAAGTTGTAGTTTCTTTCCCTCTTAGACAGAAACACCGGGCAGGACATTTCCTGGACTAGAAAGCATGCTGGAGACAGGAATGTACAACCACAGTTGTGAGAATTCACTCTCTGTTTTACCTCTTAGCAAGTGTCTCACAGTCAGCCAGTGAAGGCTTGGCAGGGCTGCAGTGTCTTGGCTGGGAAGGAGCTGAGTCGTGCAGAGCTCCAGGTTGCTCCTGTCTGAGCCTGCTCTGAGAGAGAAGCAGCACAAACACGTTGGGGTGCAGCAGAGGCTGAGCCCAGCACATAGGAGCTCTTAGTTTGAGTGCTGTGTCTTACCAATGCACTCAATTTCCCAGCCTCAGGTGACTCTGCCTGATGCAATACGTGGATTTGGCATAGCTGCTTCGATGAACTTACTTTTTAATTCAGCTCCATAGCTTATCTTTGCTTTGTGTGCTCCTGATCAGCTCGTTATATAGGGAGAGCTGCTGTGAAGAAATACTGCATTCCTGTTTTTACAAAGTGATGCAGGTCCTTAGGTGCCACTGGGGTCAGTAAAGCCTTGGATTCCCTGCCCTTTGGGATGTTTCRAAATCTTCAACTTATTTTTTCATCTGTCATCATGTGTTTGTGCAGCTACACACAAGTTGTGAGATGTGATGGCAAATATGCAAGAAAGTCTGTGAGAAAGAACCCCCCAAGACACTTTAAAACAGGGTCCTCAAGTGTTGCTGTTGGGTAGACTCCTAAGGAAAGAGTGTACTGCAAATACAGACACTAGAGGGAGGTGCAGTCAGCCCGTCACATTTAAAGTAGTCCTTAGACTTGTTATTGAATAGAGCGATGTAAGCAGTGCAGGTATGACTAACGCCAGTGTCTGAAGCAATAAAGTTACTGCAATATTTGAAATTAAGTAAACCTGAGGAAAAGACCAGGGGAGGAGCTGTCACAGCACAGCGCCCGTGACCTGGCACWGCGCAGGGAACTGCTAGGGACCCTGCCAGCACCTCCCTTTCCTGCCSTGATGATCCAACTACTCTGATACTCTGTAAAAGATGGGCATTGCAAACTGCTACCTTCCCACCTTATGAATTTTAAAAGAAAACAGGGATTCTGACAAGGTGAGGAGCTTCAACCAGGGAACTTCAGCCTCCCCTTCACTTGCGTGCTGCCTTCCAAGGGTTCAGTGCACTTTCCAAGCCAAGTGACTTAAGCAAGTCTAAGAAAGCTCAGGGGAGTCTGGGTATATTTTAGAATTTCTCTGACTCTGTTGAAAATCTTGACTATGACCCAAGCTTCCTGGGTAAAAATACTGCTTCCATTGAGGTCCATTGGCAGTGGGATGTAAGATACACTGTGTCCATCATGCTACTGTTTAAGTCAGAGTAGTTTGGCAAAGACAATAGGGTGAATTTTAGCAAACCTCCTGAAAATCCGGTCCTGACTGKGTATGACTCAAGCACTTTGTATTATTAAATCCAGTGTTAGGAAATAAGCATTTATTTTTCTAGCAGGATGGATAAAAATTGGCAAGTGTTAGAATTTCAACAGTTAAGAGAGTGATAGTGAATCAAGTGCCTGATGTACCACAGCAGTTCATACTCTCACCTCTTGTGGCTCTAACTGTTCAGTAAGTAGCACAAATGCGTGTCAGGTACCAGAAGCCTTGGCCTCCCTCTCTTCAGGATCTTACTGTGTGCAGAGAGCAAACAGGTTTTTGCCCAGTCACAACATTTATCTAGCCCTGGGTGTAGGTAGGAGTTGTGTGGAGAACCAGCAGCTCTGGTGACTTGTAGCAGGAAGGAGAGATTCTTCTCTTGCCACGACCTGAAGTATTTGCTCTGTTAAAACAAAATTATCCAGGGTTTCAGCAGAGGTTTCAGTTGAATAAAYAGCTCTCTCTTATTATCACCATACTTGTTAAAGTTATTGTAGGTAGACCTAAAAAAATACCTGGTAGAAGAGTATTGAGGATGAGATAGAGTCAAAGAGTAAGCARCTTTATTGGAGCTGTTGTATTTTGATTTTCAGGCCTGGATATAGATCGTGATGATAATCTGTGCTAAAATATTTTTTAAAAGGGAAATGTACTTTTCAGATTCTTAAACAAGGCAGCATTTGTATGGTTTTACATCACTCGACACAGGTGCAGGGTGCAGAGAGTGCACAGGTGCAGGGTGCAGAGAGTGGTTGTCAATGGTGCGGAGTCCAGCTGGAGGCCTGTACTTAGTGGTGTCCCCCAGGGATCAGTTCTCGGTCCGGTCCTGTTCAACTTATTCATTAACGACCTGGATGAAGGGCTGGAGTGCTCCCTCAGCAAGTTTGCCGATGATACTAAACTGGGAGGAGGAGCTGATAGCCCTGAGGRCTGTGCTGCCATCCAGAGGGACCTGGACAGACTGGACGACTGGGTGGTGAGAAACCTCATGAGGTTCAACAAGGGCAAGTGCAGGGTCCTGCACTTGGGGAGGAATAACCCTGGACACCAGTACAGATTAGGCGGGGACCTGCTGGAGAGCAGCCCYGYAGAGAGGGACCTGGGTGTCATGRTGGACGACAAGTTGACCATGAGGCAGCAGTGTGCCCTGGTGGCCAAGAAGGCCAACGGGATCCTGGGGTGCATTAAGAAGAGCGTCTCCAGCAGGTCGAGGGAAGTGATCATCCCCCTCTACTCAGCCCTGGTGAGGCCACATCTGGAGTACTGYGTCCAGTTCTGGGCTCCCCAGKACAAGAGGGATGTGGAGCTGCTGGAGAGAGTCCAGCGCAGGGCTACGAGGATGATCAGAGGCCTGGAACATCTGCCATATGAGCAAAGGCTGAGAGAGCTGGGCCTGTTCAGCCTGGAGAAGAGGAGGCTGAGGGGGGACCTGATCAGCGTGTATAAATACCTCAAGGGAGACAGTGAGGAGGAGGGGGGCGGCCTCTTTTCAGTGGTGGGCAGGGATAGGACTAGAGGAAATGGCTTCAAACTGAAGCATCAGAAGTTCCACAGGAACTTAAGGAAGCATTTCTTCACTGTGAGGGTGACAAAGCACTGGAACAGGCTGCCCAGAGAGGTTGTGGAGTCTCCTTCTTTGGAGATCTTTAAAACCCGCTTGGATGCAGCCCTGTGCCACGTGCTCTAGGTGACCCTGCGTGAGCAGGGAGGTTGGACTCAATGACCTCTGAGGTCCCTTCCAACCTTCGACATTCTATGATTCTATGACATGTTTTATTCTTCTTTCTGGCAGTTTTCTGGCCTTTATATCCTGTCCTTCATTGTCATCATGGTGGGCTTCATCTTGTACTGCTCCACTCCAACCCTCACTGCAGAAGCTACCACGTTGCCGCAGCCCGTGAGCGCCGGTGTGGACAACGCGGCGCTGAAGATCGAGGAGAACGACTGTGAAACCCCTGCTGCAACGGTGCAGTTCACGAGAGCAGAAACTGTGGTGGTCAGCACCAATTAAAAGAGATGGCAGCGTTTCAAAGTAGAGCTTCTTTACTGCCAAAATTCCCCTCAAATGTTAATCTGGAGAATTGTTCTGTTGCCAGGGTGCTACCTTGATTTTAATGCACTGCAGAGACTTTTAAGGCCAGATCCTCCGTCAGCGAAACTCTTGATTTACCCTTGCAGAAAATCTGGCCCTTAGAAGAAGACAGATAGTATTTATGTTGAGTCTTTGAGGAGCAAGAGACTGTTATTTTTTAATGTTTGATTAACTTAACAGCAAATGCTTCAGGGGAAACTAAGCCAAAGCAAGCTTTCAGGTCACTAGCTGGAGCAAATACCTTTTATATTACATTAGGGACCTAAATCTGTGACGTGCTGTCTGAGTGCTCCGTGGCTGCCACGTCAGTGCTGGGAAGCCATCAGCTTCTCACTGTGTCCCACACATGCACCTTTCACTTGCTGGTGGACTTTATTCCTGCACTGGAGGCGTATGCTTCTTACATTCCAGCCCGACGGCCGTCTGTTCCGATTGCTGCTGTCGTCGTTGCAGCCAGGACTGCTGCAGACATCAAGTATTTTATTTCCAGTTTGATAATAATGGCAGTTTGAATGTGCGTTTTCATAATCTCTACTTTTTATCTTGGTAGCCTGTTGTTTGGTGCATTCCTGCAAGGTGGGRGAGACAGAGTCAAGCCCCTCCTCTGTCCACTAAGAACTGAATATATTTTTGTTCTGGGCAAGACATTGAAAGGGATTGACCTGATGTGCACTTCTCGGTGAAATTGCCTTGAAGTGGGAGGCATTTTTGCGCAAAGATTCTAATTAAATTGGTATTTCTTTAAAAAATAAAGTCTTAGCTGATCTTCATTGCAACAATAATGATAATTTCCAAAATGCTAGGTGTTTTCACTAGATTAATTGGCAGTTTTCCTTCCCCTTTTTTTCATACTTATACTAAGTGATTAAAATTGACATGGCTGCAGTTTTGATATCAGTAAAACCATTCTTGAATTTTTTTTTTGTGTAAGCCTTCATATTTCAGTTTTATGAAGTGACACTGAATAAAGTCTTCAGTAGCTGACCAAGAGTTGGCCCTTTGTTTATTTTTTTAAGCTAGAGTTTCTTTTATTATTCAAAGTTATGTTATGAATTTTACTGACCAAATAATCCTTTAATCATTAAATTTTCTTATCCTAGGGAGTAAAATTGATCTTTTTGAAGATACTGGTGATCATGTGACAAAGACTGTTTTTGTGCACTTCAGCTAAAGGCTATCAAACCAAAATGATTGGGCAAAAATCTTACCTGATTTTATTTAGAGCTAGAAAAATAAATATTCAGGAGGTACCAAAGCATTATCTTGTCACTGAGCAGTTCATGCCCAGAAGAATAAAGAGATGCTGATGTTTTGTGAAAAATATTTGGGCAGAGATATCTTCTAATTGCTCTACTAGTTGAGTTAAATTGAGGACACAGACTGAGACATCAAATTTGGGCACCTATAGGCATTTATGCAGCTGAAGGTGAACAGGCAGCTGGGGACCAGGTCATCACAGATGGCASTGGATGCCTGCAAGAGGATTCCCCRTACTTATAGACAGCTTAGAAAGCCAAGTCATTAAAGCATCATTCTGCATTTAGCTACCTCATCTTAAATGCCTACAACCTAGACTTAAATCCCTTCCAATATTACCTATGTTATTACTACTGTACTGTTTAACAGCCCAGTAGTAAAGCAAACAGCAACTCAAAGAGGATCTAAGAGTGCATAGTCCTGAACACCACAATTCCACACCACATYGATGCAGTGTGGGATTCAGCTTTTGAATTTAGCTGATTACTTATTTTGTGTAAAAGGCTTATTGAGGTCCTATGTAAAGTGCCGTTCTCTGTGGSGAGTGATTCAGTCACCTAAATACACAGAGTCACAGAATGGTTAAGTAATTAAGTAATACCTAAATGTAGATGTTTAATATCAACTGGGACATGCTGTGGAGTCCATGAGGTTTCTAGAGCAGATATGACCAAGGGTCTGCTGGAGATCTGTAGCCTGGAGCAGCTGGGAAGGCCAGGTGAGACCCCCAGGACATCTGAAATACCTCTGCATGCTTATGGTTGAGCCACTGAGTCACTTCCTAAATGGCTGTGGGGACCCTATGCAATTACTTTATGTATTTAACCTACACTCAGCTAAAACCGGGTGAAATGGATCCTGTGTGAAGCTTGAGGCCTAATCTGAAGCATTTACTTGGTGTGGTCGCTGGGTGGCATTTCAGTATCTCCGTGGTGTTGCTGAAACATCCCTGTATTTGTGGTGGGGACGGATGGATTTCAGTGCCCGCAGGTCCCAGTGCAGTGCAGCGTGAAGGCAGCTTTGGACAGCAAGAAGATGTAATGTAACAGGGCCCAGTGCATGGACAGCATCTCCACGAMTGGCACGTGAAGATGAGGTACAAGGCTGCAGTCAGAACTGCTGCTGAAAGTGCTGCTCAAGACTTTCTCGCTGTGTTAAAAGGAGGTGAAAGCATTAACTTGGTAGGCGGAGAAAGATAAGCTAGCTTCAGATGAACATCCCTTCAGATGTGTCCCAACAAAAGAAAAGTAGGGGGATATTTTTTCCTGTGTACTAAGAAAAGGGCAGCGTGGCCAGGTCCAGCAGTTGGCCCCTGCCTGTGGTCGGCCTCTTCCCCTCTGCCCAAAGCACAAACCTGGGGTGGCAGCAACCAGGGAACTGGCCCTGCTCCTGCGGCCGGCCCCTTTGACCAGCGCTGGGCTGCGACTGAGGATAAACCCATGGCCAGTGGTGGGCAGGACACTGGGGAGGGTTTGGCAGGTGCCCTCATAGAGTTCTTATCTAACCCCCAAAGCATTTATTTTCAGTGAGGCTTCTGTATGAGAGGTAGAAATCACTAGTTGGGATGTTTTTGGCCCAACGTGCATGTTTTTGGATGTTTTCCAGGCTTTCTTGCATTGCTCACTGATTGTGGATAGGGTTATTCTTGCTAATTAGTCTATTTAAATGGCAGAGTGCATGTGGGAAAACATGAGGAGAATTTATGAGCTTTATYGCTCCAAAAAATAAAAGTACCTGGTTGAAATGTTAAGCTACTCTATTACTTTTATTGGACCGTGGTTTTATCAAATTAGATGGCCACTAGCTTTTGCATTTTGTTGCAGAAAATGCTAAAACTATCCATTCTTGGGGAACAGCAGGTTTTCCACCTTATGAAGCTAAAYTAAAGTGAAAATTGTGTGTTCTTGACAAAAAAAAGTCTACTGAGAATTTATAGGTATATTACCTAGGGGTTATTTTTTAAGAGACCATTAAAGGAAATGCAGTATTTCCACTCATAACTCCTTGTTGTAGGTGATTATTGCACAAATGAGTCACCAAAGCTCTTGTGTTGTTTAAATCCATCAACACCTTGTGCCCAGGCTGCATTTGAAGAGTGTTAACTCTTTGTCACAGCAGAATCAAGGGGGAAGTACASACATTTGATACTTGATATTATTTCTAAGTTTGTATTCATCTTAATTTTGTATTTGTTACTCTGTCCTCTGTCATGTATAGTGCTCCATTTGGGAGATAGTATCTTTATCTAAAAGACTGATAAAATCAGTGATAACATGTTGTAATTCTTATCTGAAAGTACATACACACATRTATTGACTCAGGTTTTGGCTGATCTTCAAATTGCAGTACCAGCTTACGGAGTGATTTGAAGGTATGAGCAGTAACTAAGCTTATGCTCTACAGAGACCACAGAATTTAAATTTGTGTAAAACACACGAGATTACAAGCACAGCTCATCAACTATGGATTTCTTGTTTCGAGAGTTCCAAGGTATGAATATAATAGCAGATCTGATTCTGATTCAGATGAGCTGGAGCCRGATAGGACTTCACTGGGCCATGGTGAGAGGAGAGCAACGTAGCCAGTGCAGGACCACGAAGCAGCAGCAGGTCAATGGCTATGACAGTTCTCACCACTTCTCCTGGGACGGGTTAACTCCTTAGCTGGGTTTATAATGTGAGCTAAACCCTTCCAAGCTCTGTTGATCGTCTCTTCTGTGTCTTCTGTCTTTTTGGGCTGCTGCCTTATTTGCAGGACACAGAAAAATCAAAGCATTTGCCAATCACATTGGTGACATATAACTGGTTAAGTAGCATCTTCCTGCCTTTTTGTCCTCTTTTTTTCTGCATGTGTTAGTGGTACACTGGAAGTTTTCCCCTGTGGTGGCATGGCAGTGCTACCTGGTCTTTCATGTACTCATTCCTGATTTCTCCCAGGACGTAGTAAAATGATCTTCCTTGACAAAATCTGGAACGAAGACCTTGTTCCCTTAATAATTAGGGTTAACCTTTAGGTGACTCTTCAGCCTAGGTTCCCTATCCAACTGTTTTACAGGTATAGGCTGGGAGTTCATTACATAAAGCTCATGGCTAAGGAATTTTCTTGCCCTGTCATTAGCAGCTGACACTGCAATATGTATTAATGCCATGTAGAATGTCTGAGAAGCTTTTAAACTTTCAGCAAGGTTAAGATCGATTACTTCTGATTTTACCAGTGGCTACCGGTCACTGATGTCCCTTTCCTGCAAGGCTCTGCTCTCATGCTCTCAGTCCTTGAAAGCTAGCTAGGTTTTGGGGACTCCCTGGTTTTGGGGTACCCCAAGACCTTCATGYAGGAGAGCAGTTGACTCCAACCCCACTCTTCTCTGCTCCTAATTTTCTCTCCTTTTCACTCTTCTTTCTCTTTCCCATAGTAGGAGCTGCCTGAATGAAGAAGGGCCAAAACAGAAGTGCTTTGCTTCACGATGCACCACAGGGTAGTTTGAGTTGACCAGGGCAAGAAAGTGTGCTGCAGATGGGGAAGGTGAATCCCATACTGTAGCCCGTGTGACCCTGCCCCCCAAGATTAGCCTTGTGCCTAGTGGAGAAATTAAGATTTCCCAAGAAAAAAAAAAAAAAGACTTAACTTKCTCCATTGCCCATGGGAAGTCCAGACAAAACAGCTGCTTGAACCTACCCTGTAATGCCTGGAGCACCGGCTGCTCTTCCCTCTTAGCCTGCTCCCAGTTAGGAGATAAATGTACCATGCACATACATTGCYTATCCACAGATCAAAGGTATAGATTCTTTAAGAAACACATATCCCTTTGGAGAGTAAGTAACACACATTTACTGCTCCTGGGGAAACAAATGTTCAGTTAATGAATCACATATGCTGGATCATCTGGCACCTCAGAGAGAAGGTGCATGGAAGATTCTTTAACAAGTCTCCTTTTAATATTGGAGTTAACTCAAAAAATAATCCAGCTGTCACAAGCATTAGACCCAAGTATCCAAATAAAAATGTGTGACATGCTGCCTTCCTCCAAGGTTTAGTTAGAAGGACATCAGAAAATTATCTGTCATCAGAATGTCATGATGTGTTTGAAAAAAAAATAGTGGAGCAGTAATTGAATGGTGACATTATTAACTTGACCAAGAAACTACGCTATTGGACATTAGCTATTTTGAGATTTTTGACCTTTATTCATAAGTCCCATCAGTTCTATATGATGTGATGTCTTGGACAAGCATATCAGTTCATTCAGCACCATTCCTTCACACATTATGTATTGTTGGATATTGCAAGGATTTGAAAATATGTCTTAAGGAAGTTTGATAGAGAAAAGCTGCACCAAGCTTCATGATTGATTATGAACAATTTGGAGAAAAGACACTGACTCCTAAAAATATAAATACAAAATCCTGGATCTGTCTTTGTCTTTCACCAAAATGCTGCCTATATAAGCTCTTGGAAACCAAAGCACTTGAGTTGAAGTGAAGCTGATGAGCTGTGATGCTGTAACCTTTTAAGTTCATTTTTTTTCCTCGTAATGGGACTGTACCCAAAACTACCTTCATCCAGAAAACTGCATCTGAAGTGTCGAGATCTCACACTCCTGGCCTTCATCTACATCTTCTGGAAGGAGTCAGGCAGCTAGAGAAGCAATTCAGCACTTCCTTGGA